TGAAGGAACCTCCAAGGATCCAGCCATGGCCATGCATTTGCTAACGTCTCTGTCCTACAGGGAGCTGAAGTTCTGGAGCTTCTACACAGTAATTCTTCATAAAATGAAACACAATAACACTGTCTTTTCAGGTTTTTTCTTTGTAGTCCGAGTGTCCTTAGGTGATCATGACCCAAACTGTGTGTCCTTGCTTCCTTTGAGCTTCAGACTCAAGCAAACCTTTGGCTCCCAAGATCCCTTTGAGTTCTTAACATTCCGGAACCACCGGGGTGTGAATCCACTGAGGTCTGTAGCGGCCAGGATGAGTTGAACATCACCCTCTATGGGCGTGTGTCCCAGTGACAGAAGAATGTGTTCAATTCCGTCATCCCAAGGGTGTGTGGGAGGGTGTGGCGACTGGGCCAAGCGTCTGCCAGGACTGTCTGTCAGAGCTGGAGAGTCTTTAGCTGCGTCTGCAGAGAGAAGTGGAGTAGCCTGCCTCCCGTGGAAAGGCCGCTGTCCTGAAGGGAAGGGCCACTGGGTGAGCTGTGAGCCAGTGCAGAAAGCACTGGGGGCTGTGAGACAGGGAGGGTTGACTGTGCTTTAGAACCGTTTAGAAAGGTGGGGGTGGGGGGGCTGCGTTCCTTCCCAGTACTGTCAATAACAGGCATGATTTCAGGATGAGGTCATGATGTGGAAGGGATAGGAAGGGGCAGACTTGAACAATTTCCCCTAGGGAGCTCCTCCAAGGGCTGCACTTTGGCCCAGAGTAGATCTGCTGGTCCGCTTCGGGAGGTCCTGGGACCCCGGGGACAGAGAGGAAGCCTGTGACATTTTCTGATCTGCTGGTCCGCTCTCTCTGCCTTCTCTGAGCTTCTTGCCCAGGCTCAATGCAACCCCTTTGTTTCTGGCTCTTCAGGAAGCTCCAAATCAGAACTAACTCTCCACTCTCGCTCTACCAACTTACCACCCTCCAACCCCCTCCAAGAGGTACAGGCCTCAGGGAGGGGCGGAGCCTCCCTGCATGTATTTTCAGATTCCCCCCAGCCCTCCGCCAGCAGGGAGGGAAACTACCAAAGCAGTCTCGCCCCAACTGAGCACAGCCTCTGTCTGTACCAGCAGCAAACAGCTTCTCTTGCACCTCAGGAGGAAGTGTTAATGAGGAAAGTGGTGGGGAAGGGTTGTGCCTGCCTGCGGTTGTAACAGTTTGCTCCTTTCAGCACGTGGGGAATGGGGATCGAGGGGCTTGAAGGAGGAGCGTGCCTTCTCGAGAATAGGGGCAAGTGGGAAAAGCTGCCCCAGTACATAAAGGCAGTGGGCGAAGTGCTCAGCCAGCACTGTGGGGTGGCCGGGCCACCGGTTTTTGTTTTGCTGAGGGGACGTTAGGAGGGAGGAGACTGGAGCCCATGGGCGGGGAGGGCTGAGGAGGGGAAGACTGGGGAGAAAGAGAGAGCATCTGGCAGCCTTGGGAGAGGAAAACTTTGGGGAAAACAGAGATGTTTGAGGAAAATGCTGCCCCACAGGCACTAAAGCTGCCCGACTGTCCACTTCTATAGAGATGAATTAATGTCGGTGCCCCAGCAATGGGTGGGGGCCAGCTTAGAGGGCCAGAGCGGGGTAGGCCAATGGGGTCCAGACGCTCCTGGGTTATAGCTAGGAAGTGGGGTTCTAGTTCCCAGAAGGGGCAACAGCTGGGGTTTGGGGGCTAAGTCAGCTGGGAAGAGACCGCTTTGCGGGGTCTGGGAAGATGGCTAAGAGGGAAGACGGGAGGCTCTAGGAGTAGGGGGATCCCGACAAGAAAAAATGGTAAGATAGGGAATACTGCTGGGCCAGAAAAAAGGAGGAAATGTTATCCCATGTGACAGCGTGAATGGACCTGGAGAGCATTATGCTAAGTGAAGTAAGACAGTCAGAGGAAGACAAATACCGTGTCATTTCATTCATATGTGGACTCTAATGACCCAAATGAACTTACAGCAGAATAGGGACAAACTCATAGGTGATGAGCAGGCCGACAGCTGTGGGGTGCGGAGCGACGGGGCTGGATGAACCGAGCAAAAAACAAAACAGAGAGAGAGAGGGGGAGAGAGACAACTCCCCCACGAACACGAACAACAGTGTGGTGACTGCCGGGGAGGGAGGAGGAGGAGGAGGAGGGTACAGGGTGGGGAAGTGGTGATAGACTTGGCTGGTGAACCCACGACACACTGTGCAGCTGACATGTTGTGGAACTGTGCACCTGAAACCTGTGCGATTTTGTTAACCAGTGTCACTCCAATAAATTCCAGTAAAATTAAAAAAAAAATAGTAGTGAGAAACTATGTTGGAAAGCCTCAAGTCCTGGACAAGAGAAATGATATAGTCAGGTGGGGGGGGGGGCGGGAGTGGACAAGGCATACAGGTCACTGATTCTAATTTCTTTCAGTCTGTACATCAATGAACTTGACCAACCTCACAAAAGAGCTCAGTAGATTACTTATCATCTCTCACTTGCGCCGATAACCTGCCCCCAGCAGTTTCTACCTCCGGTTGCTTCCTCCCTCCAATGTGTCTTCCACATACGGTGACCCTAAATCTTGAAAAGCCCAGTTCCCATGGCTTCATTCTTATCTAAAGTCCTTCAACGACCCTTCACCACTCACCCACCAATAAGCTGACCCCTCTGCAGGGCAGGCGGCACCGTGGAATCAGGCCCTGCCCATCTTTCCAGCCTCATCCATGGTCACGCCTCGCCCTCCGCACACATCACAATGAACTACACACAGTTCCTCTAACACCTAGGGCTTTTGCATACGCTTCTATTCCTTTTCCCAGAGTACCTTCCCCAGCTCCAATGCAAAGGCCCCAGAAGCCTTCTATGACCCTCCCTTCCTGTTACTGTAACCCCCAGCACCTTGTATACAGCACTAGGCTGGCACTTCTGTGTTGTACCACAACACAGATTGTGGTGATGGACCACAATCATCGTCTGCCCATGTGTCTGTGACTGGTGAAAGGACAGGCCCAAGTCCTGTTTTTTGCAGCCCAGAATCTAGCTCAGAGCCTAGTTCATTGTTGGCATTCAGAACACATTCACTGAATGACAGAATTTGCAGGTCAAGAGTCCACCTAGAAGATACCCTTTGGGGACTGTGTCTAGCTGACAGAGACACCCTTTTCCATGAGAACTGCCCCCAAACACCAACTGGACCATCGCTGGACATCTGAACCGAGCTGAGCCAAATGGACTCTCAGGAAAGCAGAACTGAGTCTGAGAGAAGCAACTTTGTTTCTGGAACCACTACATTGAAACCTGCGAATGCAAACAAGTGATGGGGGCATGCTCACTCCATCATCTAACCTGAACACTGCAGAGAGTCACTCCAGAAAGGAAGAAAAGGGCGTGGCCAGGTAGGGGACTTCTGATGGCTTTCTGATCCCCCAGTCTAGCCCTCTGGGGTTGGAGTCCTGTCCTGGGTTCTGGGAGATACCCCTGTTTACTAATGACCTGTCCCCAAATTTGTGCTGGAGCCGCACAGGATTTCTCTTCCTTACACAGTCCTTACCGCACCCTCTGCAGAGTTACTCAGGGTTTTCTCTTCAAAAAAACTTTTATTTTAATACATACATCATACTTGGACATAGATTAGACTTTAAGTCAACATACCCATGTTGAATTAACTGGCCCCATAATTTACAGGACCCAATGCAAAATGGAAAATGTGCTATCCTTTGTTCAAAAAGTATAATTAAATAAAGGTACTAAAATACAAAGCTTTCTCCTTTTTTCTGCAGTCTCTCTTTTGATTTGTCCTGGTGTATATTTGCTATACAATGTCTAAATAAATAAATATAAAAATTTTAAATCACTAACATGAATTTTATTACTTATTTTTATATTGTGCAATGCCCATGTGGAGAACCACCAAAATTACAATCTGTATTTCTCGACCCCTCCTCCTCCTCTAAGCCGTCTCAAAGAAATGACCCCAACTCTCCCTAGGCACTGACTGAGCTATTTGATGGAGAACCATTAAGCACAGGGATACTTTGCAGGGCAAGTGCAGACCCTCATGAGCTCCTGCAGTTCCCATCCTGAGACTCAAGCCCAGCAAACTGGACAACTGCTGCATCCTCCTTCCCACAGATGTGTGTGCTATGCCCCGGCCAGGGTCAGGGAAGTCCAGCTAGGCCGCTCCTATTACAGCGGACTGGCTAACCCATCCCACAGCAGACAAGGGAACCCCTGATCTTTAAACCTCCACACCAGGATGTGCTCAGTAGCTGGTGGGAGAGATACTCACCTTCATTGACTCACCTGCTGAATGTACTATGGAGCTGCTAGCCAGGGGTGCAGTGGCCCCCATTATTATACCCAATCATAAGACCCTGCAGAGCATGCACACCTCATTCAGACCCTCTCTGCATGCACACAGTCCCTCACCAGGGACAAATGGCAGCAGTGGTCACTGAATGAGGGAGGGGAAGGCTGGGGCACAGAGAGCTGGGAAGTGGTGGCCAAGAATGCATCCCAGGAAAATGGGTAGGCTTTGGGAGCTGGCACCATGTGCGAGCCAAGGCTCCAAGTCCCTGGTGCATGCTCCAAAGTCCTATGGGGCTTCACTTACAAAACCCATGTTCGAAGATAAAATTAAGTATCTCAAGGCAGTGGCTACAGAGCATTAAATCCCAAGCACTGAGCTCTGCTGAGCACGAAACCTGTGTAACTGTACTAGTTACATATGCCCATGAAGCTGGCCCTGTACATACGAGGAAGATCTCCAAGTTTCCCTAAATGACAGCAGGACAGTAAGTTGAAACAAAAGAAGGAAAACACTTCACATCCTATTAAAGAACCTTAGAGTACTGCCTTAGAGTACTAGAGACCCATAAGCCAAAAATACTACTCTCATCTCACCTGGTGGAAGAGCTAAAGAATAGGCATTTTGTCTTTACTCCCTTCAGCCCAGACTGTAGAACTGACCAGAAGATGCAGCAGGTATGAATGAACCGGAATTAGATTTCTGAGCATTAATCCAGGCTTTATTCCAAAGTATAATGCCTTTAGTTGTTCAAAGGGTATTTCATAGAAGATAGACTACTATCAGAGCAGCAGAGAGGAAGAAACTTGACTAGTTTCCTTTGCCTTAATAACTTATGCTTTTATGGCTCAGCAGTTCATTTCCCAAAGGTTTACTTGAAAAACTTCCTGTTGGGATTGATTCCAAATAAGGCCTTTCGTATCTCTGGCATCGTTTGCTCAGCTATCAGATCCAGTCGACTTTCTAGGGTATTGGAAATCATTATTCTATGATTTCCACTGTAGACCTCCACACCTCCCACTGTGTTCATAGGCAGGTGCACCTCTCGATCAACTTGGACTTTTGCATTTTTTTGGGAGACTGTCTTGTATTCAGGGATGGCTTTTTGCAGTATATCCTCTACTAGGAGGTGGTCCTGTGGCCTGCAGCGTATAATCATCACAGGCTCCAGCAGTCGGAGCAGACCCTGGAGCACCAGTTTATACAACAGCCTCTGGTATACTTCTGGGTCTTCCACAAGCCTGGAGAGTTTTACCTTCACGTCATCCAGCAGCTCTGAGATGAGGTTGTTTTGAGCTGTCAGGACCCTCAGCCTTGCTTGATTTCTTACAGTGGATATCTGGATTTTCTTCTGCTGCTCTATCTGCTTTTCCTTTTTCTCATAGTACTCCATAATCTTCAGTCGTTGAGTTTGCACAAGATGTCCTTTCTCGATGTTGAAGTCCTCCTCAGACTTGGCTTCTATTTCTTCTACCTTTTCATTGGCTTCCTGCTCAATGAAAGCCAGCATGTGCTTAATCCGCTTCTGCACATCAATATCATTCAGGGCCATGGCTGCTCCTGGAAAACGAGATGGAGGAAGAGCTGGCAGACCCTCTGGTTCCTTTGATTTGGGCAGAGTTTCAGGAGAGTCTCCAGAGTTCCATTTCCTTAAAGGTGGAGTGCATAAGGGGGGGAGGGAGACAGTCAGCATCCAAAGGGAAGGATCTTGGAGGCCACCTATCCACCACTTATTACACAGATAAGGAAACTGAGGACGAGAGGAGGAAAGCAACCTGTCTGAGATCATACCTTAGAAGAACAAAGACTTGAACTTGGATCCCTGGAGTCCTCTCTCTACCACACTAACCAATTTTTTGTCATCAATTAATAATGAGACAATTAGGGCAGACATAATCCAGAAGAATTCTAGTCAGTAATGGCTCAATACTCAGGAAACATTACTCCAGATGCTACAGAAATTAAAAAGAATTATAAGAGACTACTATGAACAATTATATGACAACGAATTGGAAAACCTAGAAGTGGATAAATTCCTAGAAACATACAATTTATCAAGACTGAATCATGAAGAAACAGAAAATCTGAACACATCTATAACTAGTATGGAGATTTTACCAGTAATTAAAAACCCCCCAACAAGTAAGAGTGCAGGACCAGATGGCTTAATTGGAGAATTCTACCAAATTTTTTAAAACAATTAATGCCAATTCCTCTCAAACTCTTCTCTCCAAACATTAAGAGGAGGAGACACTTTTATGAGGCCCACGTTACCTTGACACCAAAGCCAAAGATACTACAAGAAAAGGAAACTACAAGACAATGTGTCTGATGAACATAGATGTGAAAATCCTCAACCAAACACTAGCAAACCAAATCCTACAGTGCATTAAATGGTTCATACAGTAGGAACAAGTGGGCTGTATCCCTGGAATGCAGGGATAGTTCAACATACAAATATCAATCAATGTGATAGACCCCATTAAAAGAATGAAGGATAAAATTACAGGATCATCTCAATAGATGCAGAAAAAGAATTTGAGAAAATTCAACACCCATTCATAATAAAAAAAAACACAACAAACCAGAAGTAAAAGAAAATTATATCACACTCGACAATGAAAAACCGAAAGATTTACCTCTAAGATCAGGAACAAAGTAAGGATCCCCATTCTTACTACTTTTATTAACATGGTATTAAAAGTCCTAGCTATAGCGATTAGGCAAGAGAAAGAAATAAAAGTCATCCAAATTGAAAAGAAAGAAGTAAAATAATCTCTATTCCCAGATAACATGATGTTATATTTAGAAAACCCTAGCAATTCCATACACACACATACAAATGTGTTACAACTAATAAACAAATTCAGCAGTTGCAGTATACAAAATCAACATATAAACATCTGTTGTGTTTCTATACATTAAAAATGAATAATCTAAAAAGGAGCCCTCGCTGGCATGGCTCAGTGGATTGAGCACTGGCCTGTGAACCAAAAGATCACAGGTTTGATTCCCAGTCAGCGTATATGCCTGGAATTCAGGCCAGGTCTCCAATGGGGGGTGAGGGAGAGGCAACTGATTGATGTTTCTCTCACAGGTTGATGTTTCTCTCCCTCTCTTTCTCCCTCCCTTCACCTCTCTCTAAAAATAAATAAATAAAATCTTTTAAAAAAAGAAAATTAAGAAAACAATTCCATTTACAATATCATCCAAAAAAACAAAAAAGTAGAAATATACTCAACCAAGGAATCTAAATATTTGTACACTGAAAACTACAAAACATTACTAAAAGAAATTAAAGAAGACATGCTGAAATTAAAGAATGTCAAATAAATGAAGATATCCCATGTTAATGGATTAGAAGAAAATATTGTTAAAGATGTCCATACTGTCCATAACGACCTACAGATTCAATGCAGTCTCTAGCAAAGTCCCAATGGCATTTTTTCTTTTGAAGAAATAGAAAAATAATTCTAAAAATTCATATGGACTCCCAAAGGACCCTGAATAGCCAAAACAATCTTGAAAGAAAACAAAGCTGGAGGCCTCACATTCCTGACTTTAAAACATATTACAAATCTACAGTAATCAAAATGGTATGATACTGGAATGAAGACAGACATATACACCAATGGAACAGCACAGAGAGCCCAGAAATAAGCTCACATATATACAGTGAAATGATTTTCAACAAGGACATCAAGACAACACAAGGGAGAAAGAATAGTGTTCTCAACAAATGATGTTGAGAAAACTGAATATCTACATACACAAAAATCAGCTAGAATGTTTAAAGACTTAAACATAAGACCTCCAATTATAAAACTTCTAAAAGAAAACATGGAGAAAATTTTCATAATATTATTATTTGTCTTGGCCATGACTTCTTGGCATGATGTCAAAAGCAGAGGCAACTAAAGCAAATGGGACTATAGTAAATTCAAAATCTGTGCAGCAGAGAAAACAATCAGCATCATGGTAAGGCAACCTACGGAATGGAAGAAATATTTACAAACTGTATATATAATAAGGGATTAATATCCAAAATATATAAGGAACTCCTACAACTCAATAGCAAAAATAAAAAAGAAAGAAAAAGGAAAAAAAATAAAGAATAGACATTTCTCTAAAGAAGACAGACAAAATGCCCAAAAAGTTTATGAGAAAATGCTCAATATCACTAATCATCAGGGAACTGCAAATTAAAACTACCATGATATGTTTGTTAGGGTCCCTAGAGTGACCATTATCCCTCCACCCCCCACCAAAGCAGAAAATGAATGAGTTCAGGAGGATGAGGAGAAATTGAAACCCTTGTGCAATATTGGTAGGAATGTAAAATGGTGTAGCAGCTATGGAAAACAGCATGGAAGTTCCTTTAAGAGTTAAAAATAGAACTACCACACGTTCCGGCAGTCCATCTCTGGGTATTTATCCAAAAGAATTGAAACTAGGACCCCCAAGAGATATCTGCCACCCTCCCCCATATTCGTTGGGGCCATATTTACAAAAGCTAAGAAGTAGAAACAACCTAAGTGCCCTTGAGAATTGAATGGATAGAGAAAATGTTGTCTGTACATACAATGGAATATTATTTTGCCTTCAAATATGACAAGGATATCCTGTCACATGCTACATCATGGATGGATCTTGACCTTAAGCGGAAAAAAAAAAAGCCAGTCACAGGACATATACTGCAAGATCCCGCTTAAATGAGGTGTCTACATAAACAAATTTATAAAAGCAGAAAATAGAAGGGTGGTTGCCAGGGGCAAAGGGGAGAGGGAGCTGGAGAGTTGAAGTTGATGGGTATAGCATTTCAGTCACAGGACATGAAAAAGTTTTAGAGATTCACCGTTAAGCAACAAGCATGCAGTTTACAGGACTAACAACAGTGTGTTGTAACTTAGAATATTGTTACAATTTCTTAGAAACTTAAACTTCAGGTTATGTGTTTTTTAACACTATGAAAAAATAGAACGCTTTCCCAGAAAGGTGCGCCACTCACCACGGTGGGTGGAAAATGACCCCATAATGGTGACAAAGACTAGGACTTTGGGCTCAACCTTACAAACTTATCGGAATTTCAAAAGAAAATTCCCCCACTAATTGAGAATGTAATTTTTTTGAAAAACTGCAGTTTTGTAATCAGAGCCAAACATTCTCTGCTCCTAAATAACATAGCTCAATTAAATGGTTAGGGGAAAAAAAAAGATCCTTGGGAAGTCCTGCTGGTCCCCACCTCTGGGAGCCACCGTCAGTGAAAGCAGAGAGAGCGAGAGAACCAGGAAGCCCCAGGTTATGTGCCGAAGAAAAAAGTGTACTAGACAAATCCTCACCCGTCCACTACCGAGGGCCAGCCTTTGCTCTGGCGCCGGGAGTCTGCAGGCGGAATGTGGAACTTGGAATGCACACTAGAAGCTGGCACTGTTTCTTCTTTTCTGCAGACGACCCTCACAGTCTGCCCAGGCAGCCTGATCCAAATAGCCAGGCTGTCCCTGAGGAAGGCTGGCCAAGTCTGCAAGAGGAAGCCAAGAGGGATTTCCTTGGCACATAGGCCATGCTGGGGGCTCCCCTGGCCTGCTTGGAATCTCAATTAAGTCGGCATATCGAGGGCTTCAGGTCTGAGATGGGCTCACCTTAACCAAGCCATCAGAAATGGATATGTGTGTGGATCAGGCAGCCAGTTTGTTAATTTACTAATGAAAAATACAGCTGTCATCTTGGCAGATCCTGGCCTTTTTTCCCTGTCCGTGAGTCGAATGGGAAGGCAACCAAAAGCAGTTTAGTGAGAAACCAGAGCAAGCAAAATTTGCCAGATGGTTTTTAAGGAGGTCACACCCACCACAGGGGCTGGCCTGCTCCAGTAGGTGAGGGAGGATATCTCCAGGCACAGATGGGGCTGACCTGGGCATTGCCGGGTTCCCCGTGTAGGGCTCCAGAGTCAGCTTGCTGGAATTCAGACCCTAGTGCTGCACTTACCATTTTGTATGGCTTTGGCAAAGCAGCTCCTCCCCTGAGGCCTTAGTTTCCTGATCTGTATAATGGAAATAATAGCATCACCATCATAGGATTATTGTGAGGATGCAATAAAAGAGATGAATGTTTAGCATGCTCGGTACTTATTATCATCATTACTACTACAGTCATTATTATCAGTACCTCTTCTCTTCTGCTTCGGGCCTCATTCCTGCTCAGTCTCTCTGTGTAAACAGAGTACCTATGGCTGATTTGGTTTCCACTCCCCAGAAGAAGTGGGAATGCACTCTAGTCTTGCCTCCTTGTATTAAACTTTGCAGCCCTGCCTGGAGTTTGGGAAGTTCCCAGCACATCATGGCCCCCTTACCCAGCTCAGGATGCCTAGACACAACCTTGGTGATGGTGGGTGAAGTCTTAGATTCCAGAGCCCTGGGGCTTGGGTGGGGCCACCTCATAGCCTAGTACAAGTCCCACACTCCCACTTCTAAACAGCTCATCAGTGCAGGGACCTGAAAGCAGCTGCAAAGTGGGGCTGGGTTAAGAGTCAGGACTGAGCCAGTGTCTGCAGGCATGTGGTGCCTGTGTAATGTGTCTGGCAGGTGTAACCTTCAGTCTGTCTGGGATGGGGATTAGGAGGCCACATGAGCCTGTGGCTCAAGCAAAATGACACAACAAACCGAGAAATGTGAATCGCACATGTCTGCTCTTGCATGAGAGCCCATGCCCCACGGTTCTGTTAAGGCAAGCTTGTGCTGAAAGTGGCATTGGCCTTGCCCATGTTCGAGGCCAGGGGCAGCACCCAGGGCTCTTTAATACATCCTCACCCCCAAAAACTATCAGTACTGGGGTCTTCTCATCACTGCCCCCAACACATCAGGCTCCGCCCCACCTAACAGTTGCTGCTCACACCATTCTCTCAGCTAAAATGCCCTCCTCTGCTACTCTTCACTTACCTAAATCCCACCTATATGTTCAGCCCCACCGCCTCCTTTGACTTCTGGACTCCTTCTCAAGGTAATGACAGCATGGCTATTTTCCAGATATAGTTCAGGGTTGGATTCAGTGTTGTGTTTTTCTTGTTTGTTTTTCCCAGTCATTTTGTTTCTTCCAAGAAATTCCTTGAACACAAGGATCTTTTTTAGTGCGGCTGGGTGCAGACAGGCACAGGTTAAAAATGATTGATCAGAGTAAGAGCTGGAGAAGGGGGAAGACTTCTTTTTTATAGTAAAATATAATACACATACAGAAAAGTGTGCAGAACATGAATGTATGGCTTAATGACTTACTGTGCTATACAAATATCCTGTAACCACCACCCAGGTCAAGAAATAGAACATTGCTAGCACCCCAGAAGCCCCCCTTTGACAAGGGGGAGAGGTTTCAAAACTGATGATTTTGTATTTGTGGGCAGAGGAGGGTCCTCAGAGGAAGTGTGAGCTTGGAAATCTCTCTTCTCCAGCCCTCACCCTTGCCTGGTGGGCCCCTGTGGGCCCTCGGAAGGGAGGGAAGCATGGGACCCACAGCACTGTGAGAGGGAGGAGGGGCTGAAAGGAGTGCAGGGTGGGCAAAACGTGTCTGTCAGCCAGAAGCCCCGCCCAAACTCCCCCACCCCGCCCCCCAGGCAACTGTTCTTCATTCCAGCTAGGGTGTGTAAGCAATTTAAGGGCAGACGTCTGAGTGTGGGTTCCCTATCCCTGGCCAAAAGAGAAGCAGTCCAACCTGGGCCTCCAGACATTTAGAGACTGCACAGCAAGAAAGGGAAGGGGCTTTCCAGAGCCCGGAGTATGGGGCAACAAGCAGAGCCCAGGAAGTGGGTGAGGGAATTTAGAGAAATACTGATTCCTCGGGGGATTTCAAACGCTAAATATATGGGCAGGGGGCATCCCCTTTACTGTTTCTCAACAATTGCTTGATTGCCACATACCACATGCCAGGCACTGTGCAGGCGCTAGAGGTGGAGAAGAGAACACACAAGACACCAGCCCTGCCTCTCCAGCCCCCAGTGTGATGGGGGAGAGGAGCCAGCAAGCGGGTAATCACCCAATGGTGTGGTGTGGAAGGAACCAGAGGTTTCAAGAAAGCTCAGCAAATGCAGAGATCCAGTTCCAAGTCCCCTTCCAAGTTCATTACGGGCTTGTTTATAATGCATTGCCCCTACAGACAAGGTAAACCCTGTCGTTGGTGGTTTGAGACATTCCATCATTGATAACAGATTCCTTAACTTGGAGGCAAGACACCTTGCAAACGTGGCAAGTGGGTAGTATTCACTAAGGAGAATTTATCCGAATAGATAAGAATCAATTGAGTCCTTATGGACACCCGACTCTGTGTAATACTTTGGAGATTCCAGAGACAACCTTGGTTTAGAAATGTGGAAAGGTATTTGACACCTAAAATGGAATGATACAAGAGCCAGGAAAGAACACAGGTTGAGTGGCTGCAGGCTCCAGCTGGAGACATGGTCCTGTGGGCAACGGGGAAAGAAGAGCACGCGGGCCCCATCATTGTGATAAGCAGAAAGAGAGGGTGAGACCAGCTAGCGAGGGAGAATGCTGGGGGCCAGGGCTCAGTGGTAGGGACATGTAGGAGGGCTGTGTGCAGAGAACAGATTGGTTTGGCGCCAGCAGGCAGGCCTGCAGTGGGAGTGAGCAGTGTCCAGAAAGACAGTTGGAGTTTAGCTGGGGAAGGTTTGAAATGTCAGATGGAGATTGGGGCATTCGGCAAAGGAGACCCATCAAAGGCTTTTGAGCGGGGCTGGAACTTGGCCAATAGGGGTTTAGGAAAATTAGCAGAGGCAGGAATGTCTGGCTGTAAGCCAAATGCCAGGTGGAGACTGTGCGTGGATGAGGGCTTGGGCAGGAACACAACACAAGGACAGAGCTTTGGGGTGGAAGGAGATGTGGTGCAGAGCCAGCTGGCAGGGTGGATGAGTCAGGGTCAGGCCCCAGCGCCTGCTGCGGCTCACAGAGCCGAGCAGCTCCTGGTGAGGATGTGGGAAAGCAGACAGTCTGTTCCCTGCCGCCTCCCTGCAGGCAGAGGGAGAAAAGCATGAGCCAGAGAGTTCGTTTGCTCTGGAAGTAAAGAGACAACCTGAGGAAAACATCAAAAGTACCCAGAAAGCTTCATCTCTTTTTCAGTGCTGACGAGCAAGGGGACACACACAAGTTTATTCCAAGGACCCCACGCCTGGTGGCAAAGCTGGCTTTGATCAGGACAAAAGGAGCTGGTGCCTGCAGGGGGCAAGGGTAAGAGACATTTCTGCTTGAAAGCAGTCGGGTTCTCTCTAAGAGCAATTGGCTTCGAAGTTGTGTGGCTGAAAGGTTTTCAATCATGGCTTTTCCTCAGAAAGGGGCCAACCTGCTGCCACCTTAGGAAATGTGGACTTTGGGGCCATCAGATCTGATATTGTAGAGAAACAGAAATTCCATTTTAAAAGAAAAATGTGTCTATTTTTTCTATGTTTTATTGTGGCAAAGTATACATGATGTAAATTTGCACCATTTTAACTAAGTATCGCTGAGTGGCATTAAGTGCTTTCACGTCACTGTGCACCCACCACCACCCACCTCCAGAACTTCTCTATCTTCCCAAACTGACACTCTATCCCCATTAAACACTAACTCTCCATCCCCCTGCCACCCACCCCAGCAACCACCATTCCCCTTTGTGTCTTTACAAGTTTGGCTATTCTGGGCACTTCATAAAAGTGGAACATTCAATATTTGTCCTCTGTGACTGGCTGATTTCACTTAACATATGGGTTTCAAGACTCATCTGTGGTGTAACATGTTGCTCTCTAAGGCTGAATAGCATTCTCTTGAACGAATCTGTCACACTTTGTTCATCCATCCATGGAACCGTCCATTGGGCTGGTTCTACCTTTGGGCTGCCAGGAACACGCAAGTACAAAGATATCTGCTTGGGCCTCTGCTTTCAATTCTTTGGGATATATACTTAAATGCAGAATTGCTGGATCACATGGCAACTTTAATTTTTTGAGGAATGGCCATACCATTGCTAAAGTGCCCCCCACCCTTTCACAATCCCATCGGCAATGCAGAGGGACTCAATTTCTCCACATCCTCACCAATACTTGTTATTTTCTGGATTCTTTGATAATGGCCATCCCAAAGGGTATGAAGTAGCATCTTGTTGTGGTTTTGAATTGTATTTCCCTAATGATTAGTGATGCTGAACATCTCTTCCCACACCTATCGCTGGATTTTGGGTTTGTTTTTTTTTATGAAATGTCTATACAGGTCCTTTGTCCGTTTTTAAATCAGTTTGTTTGTTTTTGTTGCTGTGGAGTTGTAGGAGTTCTTTTTCCCTCTGGGCTCCCGAGCACTCACCTCCCGCCGCGAGCCAGGGAGCAGGCGCTCCTGCAGACAGAGCCCTCCGCGGAGTGTCCGGGTGGGAACCTGCAGCCGAAAGGAAGACAAAATCCGGTGGTCAGGTTACATACCATGTAGTCGAACTTTTATATGTCACGCGTCTAGGTGTATACATGTTACATGCATATAACATGTGTGTGTGTTGACTCACAGTAAAAACATGTTACTGTAACTTGCTGTACAAAACATTTGAGAAGCAGGGCCTTCAATCTGCCCTCCTCGGAAAGCAGCTAAGCAACCATCTATCATTTCTCAGGCAGCCCCTTGGATGGTCTTGTTTAATTCACTCATCAAAGTATTCGCCCCCCAAAACAGGCCTCTTCTAAAGTGGGGATGGGATGCTGGCTACATGAATATGAGCAGTTTATACGGCTAATGTTTGCTGACCATGTCCCACGTGTTGAGTGGTCATGGGACATCATGGGGTGGTAATTCTTCCAAGGCAGGGACCCCTCTTCATACCAGGGACTCTGAGGGTCGGGAGGGACCAAGTGGCCCATGAACTAAGAAGTCTCTGTTTTGGCCTCAGGTCCTCCATGGGCCAGAGCTCAGTGCAGTGAGAAGTGTGTAAAATTTTCTGTTCGAGTTTCAGTCCTGATGTCACTCATGGGCCGGGCAATCTCAATAAGGACTCAAAGTCTGCCTGACTGCCATCCGGTTGCAGACACAGGGACTCACCTGTAAACCAAGGATGTCAATGAGGGGTTCTGCCACCCTCTCAATGGAGCTGTGAAAGCCACATGATGTAAGGGGTAAACAAGCTTTGTGAGGTGCTAGGTAAATGTCAGGTGCCATGCACAAAATACGCTGCCCCTCATCCTGTCCCTGCTAGAACCACAGTCCTCAGGTGGCCTGTGGGGAGGGAGGCCCAGGCCAGGGCCCCAGAAGTCTCCAGGAGGCTGGGAGTAGGTACGAGGTCAGCCAGGAGCCCCGGGACAAGTCTCCAGCCTGGGAGCTGTGGGTAGGAACAGTCCCACGGGGGTGCAGGTGCTCTGCTTGCTCAGAAACACAGTCCTCAGCTCAGGACATCTTCAGATGCCGGACATTGCTTTAATGTTGACTTAATTCTCACTGTGATAGGTCCTGGCTGATCTCACCCCGCTAAGGGACACATCTCAACCTCTGACATGGAGAGTTCCGGTCTGCAAGGAGGAGAGTGTATTCATCCGAATCTGCCCCTCAGCACTGTTAGGGATTTCTGTGATGACCTTATCGGGGAAAGTACTATTTCTGACTCATCTGAATACTTCCCACAGAGTCCGGCTCACAGCAATCACTTAATAATCATTAGTAATAATTATTCGTTGAAACTCTATAGATGGGTGGTGAGGAAACAGTCTTCCCTACAGACTCACAACTTCAGGGATTTGCAACCTGCTTTCAGAAGAAAGAGGGGGATGGGAAGATGGGAAGAGTGCTGCCGAGGGGCGCCTCCTCCTCTCCTGACCACATGCCTCGGACACAGAGCTCAGTTAGAACTTTAAGCCCTGACCGGTGTGGCTCAGTTGGCTGGGCGTCATCCTGCAAGGCGAAGTGACTCTGGTTTGATTCCCGGTCAGGGCACATGCCTGGGTTATAAGTTCGGTCCCTGGTCAAGGTGCACACGGGAGGCAGCTGACGTGTGTTTCCCTCTCACATTGATGTTTCTCTCTTTTTCCCTCCCTTCCCCTCTCCCTTTATAACGATAAATAAAGAAAAAAGAACTTCAAACATGTAAGTTACCCAAATGAATCTCCTGGGGTCCTCTGGTTGAGTCTATTCTACACAGAAAGGTAACCTGAACTCCCACAATCGTACCGGGTCCCACAATCATTTAGGACACTCGACACAATGGCTGACCCGCCACAGTCGTCCTGCCTGGGTTGCAACAGGGTCCTCAAGGCCCCTGCTTTGACAGGCATTAGCCGTTTATATTGAATCAGAAGGTCAGAGGGGGAACAGGGAAAGGCCTAGACTGACAGGGGCAGTTGGTGTGGGGGATTCAGGGCAGGCGGGGGGGGGGGGCATTTATTAACCAACATGAAATTCACATATTTAAAAAAAACTTTTATTGTTGACACTGCTACAGATGTCCCCATTCCCCGCTCCTTTGCCCACCTCCACCTATCACCCCCACCCCCTCTTCCCTCTGGCCACAACCACACTGGTGTCTGTGTCTATGAATTATGCATATATGCTCTTTGGCTAATCCCTTCACCTTCTTTCACCCATTTCACCCCCTGACAGCTGTCAATCTGTTCCATGTGTCCATGCCTCTGTTTCTGTTTTGTTCGTCATTAGATTCCACATACAAGTGAGATAATATGGGAGTTGTCTTTCTCTGACTGGCTTATTTCACTGAGCATAATAATCTCCAGGTCCATGAATGGTGTCACAAAAGGTAAGGTTTCCTTCTTTCTTACGGCTGTGTAGTTATTCCATTGAGTAAATGTACCACAGCTTTTTTATCCACTCATCTACTGATGGGCACTGGGGCTGTTCCCAGATCTTGGCTGTTGTAAATAATACTGCTATGAACACAGGGGTGCATATATTCTCCTGAATTAATGTTTTGGTTTTCTTAGGGTATATTCCCAGAAATGGAATCACTGGGTCAAATGGCAGTTTCAATATTTTGAGGACACAACATACTGTTGTCCGCAGTGGCTGCGCCAGTCTGCCTTCCCACCAGCAGTGCCCTGGGGTTGCCTTTCTCCGCATCCTCGCCAGCACTTGTTGATTTATTGATGGTAGCCATTCTGACAGGAGTAGGTGACAGATCATTGAGGTATTAATTTGCATCTCTCTGATGATTAGTGACATTGAGCATTTTTTCATGTCTGTTGGTCATCTATCTATCCTCTTGGGTAAGTACCTATTCAGGTCCTTTGCCCATTTTTTAATAAGATTGTTTGAATTCTTGGTGTTAAGTTGTATACGTTCTTTATATATTCTGGAAAGTAACCCCTTATCAGATGTATCACTGGTGAACACATTCTTCCACTCAGTGGGTTCCTTTACCTGTTCTACTACATTGTAAAGGGGTTAAAAGTTAGTCCTGCCCCTGTTGGAAATTTCCACCTTAACTAAAGGCGTTAGGAACACACAGTTTAGGACATTGCTATTATGTTTGTTGTTTTATGTCCTTAGTCTCCTTCTCTGTGTGTTTTAGTTTGAACAGGTCCTATTGCTATGTCTTTGATGTCACAGATTTTTTTCTACAATGTCCAATCTGCTGTTAAAAACAGCCAGTGAATTTTTCCTCTCAGGTATTATATTGTTCAGTTCTAGAATTCAATTTGGTTCCTCTTTATATCTTCTATTCCCCTCTTCCCTATCTTCACATTTTTCTTTAAATCCTTGTGTATATTTCTAATACCTTTTGAAATCTTCATCTGCTAGTTCCATTATTTCTCATTTCTGGGTTTGTATCTATTGACTGATTTTTCTCCTGATTACATTTTCCTACTTGTTTGCATATCTACTAATTCTTTTACTTAATAGCTTTTTATTGTATTTTTTCCATTACCATTTGTCCCTCTTACACTCTCTTCCACCTCCACCCAGCCCCTCTGCTAATTCTTGACATTCTGAATTTTACGTTGTTGAATATCTGTCTTTTGTTGCTGTCCTTTAAAACCTGATGAAATTGATTTTGCCTGGCAGTTTTGGTAATAGTGGATGAAGCTGTTCTTTTTGAGGCTTATTTATAAACTTTGTTAGGGAAACATCTACAGATACTTAACCGTAGCGCTTATTTAGCCTTTCTACAAATGTGGAACCCTTCTGGAGTTCCTACTGAGTCCTCTGGACATTCTACAAGGTCTCTTCCTATTGGCTGGTTGAAACTCAAACATCTCCCAACTCTGTGTAGGCCTGAAAACCCACCAGTTCATATTCCCTGGCAGTGTGGATCTCGCTCTCCGCACCTACAATTCCGTGCCGGCAGGAGACCCAAGAGGATCACAGCAGTCCTCCATCTAGAAAAGTCTCTTCAGCTATCTCCTCAACTCAGCAAAGCCATTGTGGTCTACTTTGGGTCCCCCTCACCGTGCTGCAATTCAGAAAGTGCTTCCAGCAGAAAGTTAGGGTGATAGTGAGCTTGTCTCATTTGTTCTTTCTTGCAGGGATCACAGTCCTGTGCTCTGTGCTCTCCAATCTCTGGAAACAGTGGCTTCATAAATTCTGTGCAATTTTCCAAAGTTACTTACATTAGGAAGGTATTATAGTTGAATGTCCACCGCCCCAACCTGTCCCAAATTTGTGTTTTAAAACCTGAAGCACGAAGTGTTGGTATGGGTAGGTGGGTCCTTCCAGAGGTGATTAGGTCACCAGGGCAGAGCCTTCATGAATGCGAGTAGTGCCATTATAAACAGCCTGGACAGAACTCACTGATCTCTCCTACAACGTGAGGGTACAACAAGAAGTCTGCAACCCAGAAGAGGGCTCTCACCAAACCACACTGGTACCCTGACCCCGGACTTCTAGCCCCCAGCAACATGAGAAATACATTTCTGTTGTTTATAAGCTACCCAGTGCATGGGATATTGTTACAGCAGCTGGAACACACTAAGACAGGAGGTGGGTACAGCGCCAGTTCCTTGGGCACGGCAGACGTGGAGACTCTGCACGAAGCACGGTCAACATTACAGTTCCCATTTAAACACAAACCAGCTCTCCTGCACCACTAATCCCGAGCTCTGTCCGCCCTAGATGGCTCACTGTTCCCAAGTTGTGTGCTGTTCCTTCTTGCCCTGATGTGTGGCTGTCCTTCCCAGGCACTCTTACCTTACCCCTATTAGCCTCTTAAACCCCAGGCCAATGACGCCCTTCTGCAAACCCTGCCCCAGCACACCCAGAGCAAGCTGGGTACTAACAGCCTCCTCTGAACTTCCAGAAGCCTGTTCTTTATCCTCTACCACAGCGCTGATCACATTATATAGTAATTATCTATTGCTCATCAGTTCCTTTCCACCCCCTCCAGCAATTGTGGCTTTCCAGCTCTTCATCCCCCACCCAGGAATAAAGCCTGGCATCTAGTAAACCCAAATAAAGGCTTGTTAAATGAAATACTGGTTGAATCAATGAAGAGTAGGAACTATAGGAAAAAGAGAAGGCTAAGTAGAGATTCACTGTTCTCACACAGACCACTGTGTTTTGACATCTGCAGTTAACACAAAAGGAGAAAAGCAAGCACAGTGCCTATGGAATGCTTAGAAACAAAGATGATTTCCGTCTCTCAAATCATCCCTGAAATTTGAGAATTGTTGTTGTTGTTACCACTTGAGGCATCATCCTCTTTGCCCACAGGACAGGGAGGTTTCTGTTAAGATCTGTTGGTCCTTCCAGCTAACCCATCTGTGAGCTGACCTGGGGCATTCAGGGTAATTCCCCTCTCCCACCCCACATACACACTAGTGGAATCAGCCAGAGCTCTAAGTATTCCTGGCAGTCAGTTTTGGCTTTTCTATGGGCCAAAGGGATGAGGTCACCATCACCAATGAAGTCACCTCTGCATGATTCATCTGACATCAGTTCCCCACGTGAGGTGCTCTGACACTTTCAGAGCTGGTCCCAGACGATCCAGAACCTGGGGTCCTTGACATTGTTCAGGTTCTGGAGCTGCTCCTTCAGCTCCCTGGATCCCTGGTCAATGTCTGCTCCAATAAGAACTTGGAGGCCCGAGTCCTGACCTGGGGGAGACCCTGGAAGCCTCCATCCTCCTGTCCTGGCACAGATCTTGTCACCTCTCATAAAGGCCTTCCCCATGTCTCCAGCAACTGCATATCCCCTTGTCTCAAAGCTCTTACCAGGAGCTCTCAGGACACATTTTAAAGCACCCCAGAGCTCTCAAGGTTGAGACCACCAATGCTCCTACATTTATAGATGAGAAAGCTGAGGCCCAGAGAAGTGGACCTCTAACTAGTGTCACGGCTGGAACCAAATGCCCTCTTCTGGCTGAGTACACTACAGAGTGTGCTCAGGGCTGCTGCTTCTCACAGAGCTTCCTTTCAGAAAACTAGTCCCAGAAAATGCTGCCTGAACAAATGGTCCTGTAGGCAAAGGAAGCAAGTCCTTTCTTGCCCTCTAGAAGTGGCAGAAAATGGCCTTGAACCAAGATCTGCCCTCAAGGCTGTCCCTGTCATTTGTACAAAGTATCTTCCAAATTCATTGCATAATCTAAAGCAACGGGCAATGCAAATGCCCACCCACACTTGGGCATATTTGGAAGGGTCTGGTAAGATCTTGAGTGTCATTCCTCAAGGAACTACCGATAAATAATCCAGGAAATCCTGCTGGGACAACAGAAATCAGATTTGGGGTTTGAGAATGGAGGCCTCAGAAGTGAAGCACAGGGACAGAACAGTGAGCACTTCCCAAAGTGAAATGTCCTTGAATACTAGAATTAGCTGGAAGCTTTTGGGATAATCTCTTCACCTCACTAGGTCTGTTTGCTTATCTACAACCTAAGGGAGTCTAAGGAAGATGGTCCGGTTGACCTGTGGGCTGCCTCTCAATGTGAATGAATGAAAGGAAGTGGTTTATCTCACATCAGCAGTGGGTAGGGTGCAGTGCCAGAGTGGAGTGTACTCACTCTCCTGCACCCCTTTCTCCCAGTGCCTAATGTTCAAAGTGGCACCACTGGTCAGTGAACAGGACCTGGACAGCCAGGTGTTTTCCAGCTTTGCCCAGGCTAAGGCTTAAAGCACCAGAGTGTATCACTCCTGAGGGATTACAGCCTAACACCCTCGACGGGCACTGGGGACTGCAAGAGGGACCCAGCAAATGTCTCCTCCAGGGGGAACAAAGGGGCATTTGTCGTGTCCACAGCCAGCGGTGTCTTCCTTTTCTGGCTATTGTGGGGTGCTTCAGTGATTCAAGATACTGTAACTCTCTTAGTCACCAGTCTCATAGTAAATGATTCAAGCTTCTGCTGTGAACAGAATGGAGGCTGTGGGAAGGGGGCCCCAAGCAATAAGCCATGAGTCCCCGCTTTCCAGCCCAGGGAGCACCATCCCCCTCTTCCCGTCACTCCGCACACCTTATTTTTTTTCTTTAACCCTCTAAGTCTTTCTTCCTTTCTGATTTCTAGTTCTGTTGTGCACTTAGAGGCCCACGGGCTGGCTCCTGCCTTCCGGGTGGAGTTTAAATCTATATGTATAATTTTGCATGACTATTGCGTCATCGTTGGAGTCGTCGTAGCTCCGCAAGAGGCCTCCTTGTCTTCTCCCAGCACTGGGGCCTTTGGACGCTTCCGGGCGCTGCGGGCACTTTCACGAGGAGCCCTCGGCTCCTCCCAAGCGCTCTCCTCCCGGCCCCCTCCCCCAGTCTTACCTTCCTCCCCTCCCAGCTCCTTGGCTCCTCCTCCTCGCCCCCTCTCCGCTGCCCTAGCGGAGAGTCAAGCTAGGGTGAGCTGGCGAGGCCGTGAGACGGCCGCGGGTGGGGCGCAGGAGCCGGTCTGCGGGAGCTGGCGGGCTATCCGCACTCGGGGGAGGTGCCTCCGTCCGCCCTCCTCCAAGGCCAGGCGGGGAGGGGGCGCAGACCCGCGCTGGGCGGGGAAAGCCGTCTGGCCCCTCCCCTCTCTGCCCTCCCCAAAGTTGCGGTCTCCCCGGGGGCCCGACAGTCTTATGATCCAGCGGATCCTCCTGGGGAAGCCGGGCTGGGGAGAGGGCGCGGGCGCGGAGCGGCTGGGGCAGCAGGCGGGCGCGGCGACCGGGACTCGGGCGGGGATCCGAGCAGTGACCGAGGCGGCGGCTGCGCCCCAGGCCCGCCGCCCCCTCCCCTTGGGCGGGGGGAGCCGCTGCATGGGGCAGGGGGGACGGCCCTGCAGCGCGGAGCGGCGGCGGCGGACCCCCCAGGCGGGCTGGGGTTGAGCCCGGTACCGGGGAGGGGGCTCCGGGGGGACCATGCCCGGAGGCCGGCCGGCCGCAGCATGGCTCACGGGCCGGGCGCGCTGATGCTCAAGTGTGTGGTGGTCGGCGACGGGGCGGTGGGCAAGACGTGCCTACTCATGAGCTATGCCAACGACGCCTTCCCAGAGGAGTACGTGCCCACCGTCTTCGACCACTACGCAGGTAAGCCTCAGAACTGCTGACTAAGGGGCTGCTCCCCGGGCCGGGAACTTTGGAGCAACTTTGGCGGAGCCCCCTCACCACCTCCCCTGAGCACTCTCGCCACCCCTCCCCCGCCGCGCCCTCCGCCTGGAGGCCGGCCCCACCTCGGGCTTTGCCACTTACCATCTCCTCTGCGAACAGATTGGACCCCTCTTCCTACCCCTACTCCCACGCCCAGTGCCAGCTCCCCGCGCTTCCCAAACCCCTTGGCGTCCTGGAGCGACCTTCTTGACCTTCCCATAACTGCCTCCTTTACTGCCCCAAGCCCCCGGGGAAACATTGGGGGGGGGGGCGAACGAAAAAGACCTGGCTACGGGACTTGGGAGAAGGAAGTAGGCTGTGGCTGCGGGCCACCTCATACCCCGACCTCACGCCACTTCGTAGTGAGTCGGGCACAAGGGAAAACGGGTGGCATCTCTCTGCAGAGCCCTCATGCCTCCACCTGGGTTGGGAGAGGAAGGTCCTGGTGGGGAGCGAAATTGCCCTGGAGTCTAAGTAATTGTGAGCTTTTCTCCCTTCCCCCATTTCTGCCCCTGCAGTCAGCGTCACCGTAGGGGGCAAGCAGTACCTCCTGGGACTCTATGACACGGCTGGACAGGTGAGTGTCTTGGCCCCTGGCCTACACCCGCTTCCCTTTCCAGATTCAGGGTGCCTGGGAAGGGCCGTTGGAAACTGAGGTGTCTAAGGAGGGAGGGCGTGTTTCCGAGGGGCTGCTGTGGGTTAAGTCTTTATTTCTTTTTTCAAGTCATCAAATTAGGGGGAAAAAACCCAACAGCAACCCTAGACGAGCCCATCCCATGTAACCCCGGGGCTTTGAAAGTTTTCGCCTGTCTGTGCCTTCTGTATGGTGCTTGGTGTGCGGGTCCCAAACTCCTGTTGCAAAGTGGCAGCGACCAATCGTGAAGCGCCCTTATTTTTGGTTGCAGACAACCAGGTCTCCCTCTCACAGCCTCTGTCTGGTCCCTCATTGGTGAGTGGTCTGCCTGCCCGAGGAGCCTGATTGGTGGAAAATGGCATCATCTAATACGATGGGAAGGCATTTGGTCCTGGTTATGTTTATTACAACATCACTGCACTCTGGGACTGGAGTCCCTGAAAACATAATTGGTGGTGTTGCCAGGGGACCACAGGGAAAAAGAAAAGAAATAACAACCATTCAGCTACTCCCTGGGCCAGGGAGGGGCAGGAAAGGTTAGGAGTTCAGTGTGAATCTTGGAAGAAGGGCTTTATTTATTTTCCCTTGGAAGACCAGGTGATTTGGGCTTTTTTTCCCCTCTGGGAGAGATTAGCATGCAGAAAGAAAATACGCACTTCTCCTGGCAGCCTCTGACCATTATATGCAAATTAGAGGTGGCTCCTAAACAATTAAAGTCTCTCCTCTCTCCCTCTGTCCCAGCTCCACCCTCTTCCCAGACCCCTGTTTGCTGTGGAGCTAAGATGATTGTGTGATGAAGTTTTGCAGAATCCAGCACTGTGATTAGATCTGGCAGAAGACTCGGGCAGAAGCTTCCACATGTCACACAGACTTGGGTCCTTGAGGACATGTGAGCAGCTGAAGGGCTTAGTGAATGACTTTGGGGACCGTCCAGTTGCAGCTTCCTTACCTGTTAAGTGGGGCTTAGCACTGAGTCAGGCACACACTGGGTCGGCGCTCAGTGGAGGCACTGTTCTTCGTGGCTTTCCTAGTTTTGGATTTCAGAATGTTGAGTCTGAAAAATGTCTTCTTTGGGAGGTGCCTTAATGTGGCCTCTGGGTTCTAAACCATTAAGTTAGAGCAGCATATGAGGATTGAGAAACTGTGGCAGCGGGAGGGGCCTGGGGCAACCCTCTTTCTCCAGCCTGACCCAGGGCCCCTTTCTGTTGCCTGCTTCCAGCTGTCAGAATGCATGGAGACCAACTTTTAAGTTGTACAGTGGTGAACTTTTAAACAACAGGTTGAAAGGAGCCAGCTTTTAAAATATGGTCTCTATTGTTAACTTCTGTCACTACCCTTCTTCCCTTTTCTCCTTGACTTGTCACCATGGCTAGTTTTTGACCATGAGCCCTGTTCGACAGGACGTGGATATGTCAGAATTGTTCTGTGCACGTTCACACTTAAGTAGTATTTACTGAGTTTCCTCCGTGTATCAGGCATGGGGTGACCACGTGCAAATATCATTATATTTTCTCCATGAAACAACCTTATGAGATAGGTGATATTTCCATCTTTGCAGATGAGGAAATGGGGGCTCAGAGAAGCGAGGTTGCTGGCCTGAGGTCACAGCTGCCAAGAGGTATTGCCAGGTTCAGGACATGGTCTGAATCTGCCCACTTGCAGGTGGTTACACACGCAGGAAGCCGTGGGCGGTGCTTGGGTACTGCCTGGGTTGAATTGCTTGTGTGTCTGTAGACATGCTATTTGGAATCGTCATAGCCCTTCTCTGAGTGGAAGTTGTATGCCATCTCTATAGAGTAGAGAACCCAGATCCGAAGAGTCACCCAAAATTAGGTCCCACTCACAAAACCAGGGCTTTCCATATGTTGTTAAAATTGCTGTTTCCTGTGGAGATTGTAAGATATATGCCAAGTGGGGTCAACTGACTAGCGAGATATCACTGTTTTTGCCCGGTGGCGGGCACCTCCTCTGTTGGCTGAGATGTGTGTTAGCCCCCTTCTGTTTCTCCCAGTGTCTAAAACTTGTTTTTCGATCAAAGTTAGTCATGATTCATCTTGCAGCATTTTGAAGGGTTTATTACTAATAAGCAATCTTAGCAAAGGAATCATCAGTGAGATTCCGTGGTAAGTGCCCAGCGTGTACCCAGCACTGGGCTAAGCACTCGGAAGGTCAAAACAATAAATTTAAGGTAGGGATCTGCCATGACTGATGATGGCATAGGTGGAAGTGTCTGCGTCAGATGCCTGTTCGTGCATGTTATATAGGAGATTTCTGTTGTGTTCGCTCATTAAAGACACCATGCTTCTCTGAATCTGTAACAGATTAATCTTACAATAACGATAATGATAAACACATGAACACACATGGGAATTTTTAAGCCTGGTGGTCAGTAGAACCACAGGCTTTGGAACCGAACAGGCTAGGCTCAGATCGCGCCCTTGCTAGTCATGTGATTCCAACTAAGTTATTTGCCTTCTTTGTGCTCTAGTAAAAATGTGGATAATTTGGCTGTATAATTTGGCAGTGTTTTAGGCTAGTTTATAATGTTTAATGTGTGTGAAAGCACATCATTGTTCACTCATAGTGATGAGTAACATGTTAGGAGAAATGATCGTGCTCCACCTTGGGCGCCTTTGGGGGGAAGGGCTCGCAGGTGGAAGAGGACGGTGCAGTTAGTATGCCTGCAGCTGATGGAGTTCCGCTGGGATTCCAGACCCTGTACTGTTTTCAGCAGAGGTGTGGAGCCAGGTTTACACTTTGTAATCCCCACAGTCCCCACCAGCGACCCGTGGACACAGCCAAGTGCTCCCTGCTCTAAGTGCCCTGTTGTGTCGTCTGGTTTTCTTTCTGAATCAGTGCCTGCATCCTCCATGATGAAATGCTTAGAAGAACTGAGAGTGTGGTGTGGACTTTGAGAAATGGGTGGGGTGTGTAGGTTTCAGCTGATTCTACTTTGGGAGGCAAAATGGAATGAGGAGGAAGCTCAGCACTGGGAAACAGTTACTTTCTCCAAAAACTTAGCTCATGCACATGGGCACTCACTGTGTTTGAATAACAGCAACAATACCTCCTTCTGGTTGGAGTTTCTAGTCTATGTGCTTATTCTTCTTGGTGTCTGACCCCAGTGAAGTTCAAAGATGTAGGCAAACATTCACCCCATGTACATATTAGGGCACTTGAGATGACTGTACAGCCATACCTTATTTTCATTGCACTTTGCTTTACTGTGCTTCGTAGATGTTGCAGTTTTTACAAGTGAAAGGCAAGACCCTCTGCCAACAAAAAGATTACAGGCCACTTTGTTGCGGTGGTCTGGAACAGAACCCACCGTGTCTCTGAGGCATGCCTGTAGTAGATGACCATTGGCGTTCCAGAGCAGGCTCTCCCCATGTTGACCTCTGCTGCTCTCAGGAGAGAGAGGGAGAGGAAGGCATATGAATGTGTGTGTGTTGGCCAGTGCCAGTCTCCATCACATGTTCTGCTTGGGGACATCTTTCAACGCCCCAACACACTCAGTAGCATTATTGCCAAAGGGAAGCCCCCTTTTCTGGCCAAGCCTCTGGGTGGTCCAGGAGCAGCTGACATTTTGACTGCTAAGCATTTCAGAGTGGAAGTTGAAAGCAGCGCCTTCCTCCTCACTGGGGCCTTGTGCAGGGGTCTGGCTTCCGGCCTGGACCTGTGGAGCTTCTCCTTTCTTGCGTAGGCTCCGCTCTGTAGCAGCTTCACTGTCTGCTGGGGGAGGGACTGGAGAGATGAGATTTCCCTCCTGCCTCTGCACTGCTTGAAAGCACATGGAAGGTGGGAAGAGCTCTCGCTCTCTGTGCAGATGAGCGGTGGGGAGCTGCCTGCTCTTGAGCTGCTGGCACCAGGCTGATCTCTTAATCCTTGGCAGGGAGGCAGAATTTGATACCCCAAAGAGAGAGAGGACTGACGCCCAGTTTTATCCCAGGTCCCAGAATACCCACACTCAGGAGGGTGTGCTGGGGGTGAGTTTGGGTTCCCTAGAGATCCAGATTTAGCCACTGCCTCAGTGTGTGGAAGTCCATATGGGTGCTTTGGGGTGTGCTGTTGCTATGTCTATTCACTTAAACTCGCTCCCTCAAGTTCAAGGGCGCATGCATGAGAGCTAAAAATACCGTTTACTCAGGTGTCCCTTGTGGTTGCTTTTTTAGTGACAAGCAAGATCTGCTTCTCATTTGACATAGCCCAGCAGCTGTGGCTGCCCTGCAAGCCCTGGGCACCCAGGGGAGGCCTTCCTCTCCAGAAGGGAATCACCATGGGAGGCAGCCTCAGAATTCCCGTCCTGCGCCCTGTGCGCTGTGGTGCCTTTTTCACTGGGCTGCACCCAGGGCCCTGTACAAAGGGAAGGGTGGAAGGGGGAGAGGGGAGGGCCAGGGTGAGCTCCTCCCACCTTCAGGCAGCATTCCTCACAATCTACCTTCCCAAGCAGACTTTTCCCAGATGAGGAAATTGAGTGAGTGGGCTGATGGAGAGCAGACAGAAATGTGGTTAGAAAAAAGTTTACTTCACTTCGGAGGGGGCCTGCAGGGAACATCAGTAGGGCTTACGAAGGAAGTGCCCACTCACTTCACCCAGGCTCTGGGTCCCTGCAGCTCCACGTTACTTCCACTAGGGGCCCAGGGAGCAGAGTTTAGGAGGAGCCGCAGGGTTCCTTGCAGACAGCAGCTGCAACAGGTGAGATGCTGGCAGTAAGCATCCTGGTTTCCCTTAGTAACCTACTGTAGATTTGTTATCTGTACATTTTGCTAATCTTTTAGAAGCTATTTATATCTCCAGCCTGTACCACATCACTTTGGAATGCTGGCTTCCTCCTCTGTGTTGGGAAGGCAGATGGCCTCAGTTGGCTCCAAAGCCTTTGCAGTGACTGAATGACCTGTGTTTCCCTCCCTGGGACTCTGATATGGGTTTGGGATGTGCCAGCT